GAGCGCCGGGGGCGGGGCGGGGACTCCGGGGGCGGGCCCTGATCTGTGGGTGGGGTCAAGTTGCCCCGCCCCTCCACCCCCGAGAGGCCGAGACTTGCCCATTGGGCATAGTCTTAAAGGGCTCGCTTTTTCCGGAGCGCAACATCCACGAGGCTTGGGGAGAGGCTGCAAAGTGTTACCCTAAAGCGCTCTAAAGGAGAGCCCTGGCCCTACGCCCTCTCTCCAACAAGTGGGCCCCCTCCCTGCACCCAGGTTTCTCCCCAGCTGCTGAGAAGGCCCCGGTCTGTAAGCTCTTGGGGTTTGGGCGTCTCTGGGAACACGTGCCCAGCTGTGGTGTGAAGCTGCGTTTGGGCCCTCGACCCGGTACCTGGCCTGTGTGCAGCTGGGCGCTTCCCACGGCGGGAGAGGGTTTCAAGGGCTGTGCTCAGTGCCCCAGCTTGGCAGAGTTAGACTCCTTAGAAGACCCGTTCTTTGCGCTACCCTAGAGCCCTAGTCCCACCCGGGACAGCCGGAGCACAGCGGGAGCACACGCATATCCCCCTCCCACGTTATACGAGTGCACAGACAAGCATCCGTCACCGGCTGGGCTTCCCGCCTCCGGGCCGGTCCTCCATTCAGTCCCACACTTAAGAGTCGCCAGGCCCCTGATCTAGGGCCGCGGGATTCCCACCAGAGGGTCGTACTGCAGCTCAAGTGGAAAATTGCACTCCCCCGTCCCTGGCGGCCCCTGGGGAGGCCTAGACGGACGGGTCTCGAACCAGCGGGCGTATCGTGGGAACGAGGCCGACCTTTCAGCGCATCTTCGGGTGTGCTTCCACGCGGCCTCGCCCCGCGCGGAGGCGACATCTACGAAAGACACGGGCCCCTTTGGGCCGCAGGGCAGTAAACCTTTCCTTAGAGCAATGGAGTGGAGAGTAGGGAGGGGCTGGTGGCTGGCGAATTAGAGGCCTCTCCCAATCAGGGCCCCAGAGGACCCCTGGCTGCGGCGCAAAGCCTGGCCGGAAGAGGGCCGTGCTGCCCCTCCGGGTCCAGGCCCAGCCCCACCCGGGTTGGCTCCGGATGAAAGGGCCTGACCGAAAACTCAATTCACATTCTATCTGAGCCCGCCCAGCGGGGTGCCTCGGCCTCCTACCTCCAGGCTGCAGTGACCACTTTCCCTTTCCTTCTGGGATCAAGGAGGGTGGACACGAATTCGGCTTGGCGATCAAGTAGGGGGCAGGACGGAGCTTCCTTCTCCCAAGTGTAAGCTGCCCGCCCTGTCTCACTCCATCCTCTCTGATCTCCTTTCAAGTAAGAGTCAGGCTAGGGCCAAGAGCTAAGCTTGGAAGCTAGATCACCCTTCCGCCCCCACCCCACTGCCCTGCCACCTCACTGTGGGTACTATGGTCCAGCTCTGCACCCCCCAAAGACAAGCAGGGCGTGGACAAGAGCAGCAGGAGGGCCGCCAGGTGTCTGCAGCACCCTCCTCCCTTAACCCCAGCATTGGGTTGGGATGTTTTCGTGATGCACATTTTCTTTGTATAAAACTCTCTCTTATAAAACTCGCTGTGGATTTGTTTCTCCAAAGTACCTAGACTAATACGAGGGGATAATGACGCGCGCGAGGGACGTGTGTGTGTGTGTGTGTGTGTGTGTGTGTGTGTGTGTGGTTGCCTCTGCCTCTAGCAAAGGTCTCCTTTTGGTCCCCAGCCCTCTGCGAGCGCCCTGGGAGCAGATTGGTTAGCGCAGAAGGTCTGGTTGGTGGTGGGCAAAACTCACTTCTCGTCTACACCTCACATACCTGGTTACGGAGATGGCAGGCACAGGGCGGGCACTGGCTGCGGGGGGCCACTTACCAGCGGGGGCTGCGGCTGCGGGGGCTGCCCTGCTCCGGAGGCAGGCGGGTAGTGCATGAGCAGATTGAAGGCCGAGTAGACGGTCTCTTTGTACATGCCGCTAGCGCACTCAGGGGCCTTCAGGCCTGGAAAAACCACAGCTGGGTCAGGCGCGCCAGCCCGGCGCAGGGGCCGACGGCTATCTGTTCTTGGGAGGAAAAACTCAAACTTGCCAAGGGGTGCCCCCTCCCTTGGAGTTGGTGACTCGAGACGGAACGGGCCGAGGGTGCCCAGAGTGCCAAGTTTTTGGAAGAGGACACTGAGTCCAGGCCTCCCTGGGGTGGCCTCTACTTGACCCTCTCCCACCCACCCACCCGGCCCCACGGCCATAGAACCTTGGCCAAAGCGTTCTCCTCCAGACAGGGGATTAGTCAGTCAGTCACCTGGGCAGGCGGGGCGGCCGAGACGGCGGGGGTCTGTTTAACTCCTATAAAGGTCAGGGCACCGGAAGTGACTCGAGCCTGCCGTGCTGGGGAAACCCGCCCCCCACACCTTCGCTTTTACCGCCTCCCTGAGCTGCGGGGGGGAAGGGGTGGGGGGGGGGCGGGGGGCAAGACACTCCCGCTTCCTCCAGCCCTGGGCGCCCTCCGCCTCCACCGAGGCCCGGGCGGGAGGCGGGGGCGGTCGGTCCCCGCGCCCACACTCACCATCCTCCAGAGACTCTGCAGGTTTGTCCGGGAAAAGTCTCTGCGAAGTGCGTTCCCGCCCCAGCGCCTGCAGAGAGAGCCCGAGGGGCCGTGAGTGGGGAGGGAGGATGGGGGCGCCCGGGGGTAGCGACCCCGC